TTTCCCTTGCCTCTCCTTTCTACTCTTGCATGTTTTTCATACCAGCCATTGCAGAGCCACCTATGTTGGTGTCTGTCAGTGCTGAGCCATGGGGGATGCTTCAGCAGTTTGTCCCCTTGCCCACCACTATGGTCGCAAAGGAGAAGATCGAGGGCCTGTATGCTAACAGTGCTGGCACACCACAGATGCAGACAGGATCTAATCCATCAGTCAAAGCAGCCACCACCTGCTGCTTCTCTCCAGCGCTTCCCACCAGTTCTGCTCCCGGTTGGGGGGCTTGCTTACATATGAGGAAGCTCTTTGCTCTTTTTTGTCTCAAGGAGTGGTGGTTTTCTCTGCTCAGTGAGGGGACAGAGAGGTTGGGCTCCCCTGAAGCCCTCAGAGCAGCTCCTGTAGATGCCCAGAGGAGCTCCACGGAGGCACAGCACTGTGTGCTCCAGCCTCCTACCCGCACACTGCTGTGCCATATTTTCTCCAGACGTCCCTGTTTTGTGCCTTTCCTCACTTCCCTCACAGGCAGTCTAAGTTATCTCAATGTCAAGAAGCATTTCTCAAAATACAACTTCTACCTCTGCCTCTTTCTGTCTTCAAAGAGTTATCTTGGGGACCAATCAATTGCATTCCTTTTTAAAAGCTTTTCCAGCATTTTAAAAATAACATGATTGCCAGCAAATTTATCAGTACTTTACTCCGTACCTTGTGATACGTATCCAGATTAAGACTCGAAGAAGGATGTGATGTCTAAACTAGGACACAGGCAAGTTTAAAGACTCTTTAAAAAAATCCTAAAAAAGAGTCAGAAACTCCCTTTCTCCACAGCAGCCCAATCCTAAAGCTTCTGTAGGTCCAGGACACTTCTCTTTTTGACCTGGAATTTCTTTAATTGGCCGATTTGGTTTGCAGTCCCTGGGTTATGCCCCAGACTACCCTCACTTGGACAGCACAGCTCATGGCTCCCCAGGCTCACTTGGCAAACTCAGTTTTCAGACTCACCCCCACTTGGCACCAGCTTCTCCTCAGACACCCAGTTCTCAGCTTTGGGTCCCACTTTGGGGAATAGAAACTTAAAACTTAGGCTGCTAAACTGAAGGGGCATGAGGTTTTTGGATCTGGCCTTGATTGTGATAAATGTTCATACACTCCCCTCCAGTATTTTATCACTTGTTTCTTAGCCACAGCTAGTTTTACTGACTCTTCCTTCTTTCTTACTTTACTGCCTTTTATCCTTCTGATCATTCACTAATGGATTTTCTTTTTTATTCATTATATGTAAAGCTCATTTCTTATTCCCCATGGCTGCTTTGAACAGCATTGATTCATTTTTAGTTTTCTTAGGTCCTCTTTCCTTGTCTGCAAACACTGCTTTTGCTGCTAAGATTCCTCCATAGTTTTCCTTTCCTAAATCAGGTGCAAACAGGGAGGGTTTGAAACAAACACCCCAATTTCTACATCCCCTCTGTGATGAGACACGAGCCAGAATGGTTTTATTCCTCTTTCCCACAGAAACAATGCTGTCCTACATCACATTTATACTGGGTCCACTTTTCAATTACATCTTCCATAGGTACTTACCCCAAATCTGAATAGCAACATTGGCTTCATTTTTTGCCAGGTGGGAACCAAATGTCAATTTTTGAGAGTAATATCTAAAACCTTCATGGGAACCCTCTCCTTCTTCTAAATCTTAATAAATTCACAGGAGAGTATCAGGCGGGGCACAGAGGAGATGTCTTATCAGGTCTGGAGCCTCTGGGAACATCACATCAAATCCAGCTGTATAGACCTCACCAGTGACCAGAGTTAATTTATCTATCAACAGCCCTGAGCCTTTTGAGAAGTCCCTTGGTGGCCTCCGCTTCATTCCATCTGAATACATCTCCAGTCCAGTGGACACTATTCATAATAACTTGAGCAGAGAGGTCCTCATTCAGCAAAACTCTTAAACCTAAATGTAATTTTCAGCGTTAAGGATACTGCCATTGAAACACATGGCAAAGGCTACATCCCTGCCTGTTGCAGTAGACTAGGACTGGCCAAC